CCACACACCTGGTGCATCCCGAGTCCAGTAGATCCAACATCTTCCTCTGGGTGCCTGACGAGGGCAGCACTAGCTCCACCAAGATGGTCACAGGGATTACGCGTTAACTTACCAGGGGTTCGGTGTCACTCTCCTCCGGAAGGTTCGGAGTTCCCAGCCCCATCTGGCGAGGAGGGCGAACTCAACAACCTCCACTCCCTTTAGTGCTGTTTCACGAAAACGTGAGGGCAGCTTCTCAGCCTTTCTTCCCCCGGTGGTTGCAGACTTTAGGCTGGGCTTGGTGGAGCAGCATTCTGCTGCTCAGTGCCCCTCCTTCCCTCACTTGAAGCGTGCTGTAGACCTCCCCCCCTTCGCAGCTTTTGGGGATTCTTTATGGGCAGGGGGCAGAGGTTTGCTCCAGCCTTGGCTACTCCGATGTTCATCTCTGGCTAGGTCACAGGTTGGCAACCTGCGGCTCCGGAGCTGCATGCGGCTCTTTGGGCCTTCCCCTGTGGCTCCCAGCCTCCTCTGCCTTTGCAGAGAGAGACAGAGACAGAGAGAGGCAATTGCGCTTCCCTGCTTCTCTCTCTCTCTCTCTCTCTCTCTCTCTCTCTCTCTCTCTCTCTCTCTCTGTGTGTGTGTGTGTGTGTGTGTAAAAGAGAGTGGACTCACAGTGTTCTCCTTGGAGCTGAGAAGCTTAGTGGGCGGAGCTCCTCCCTTTGCTGCTCTCTGCAGGAAGCAGGAAGGGCAGGAGAGAGCTAGCTAGCCCAGCTAGGCTGACTCAGGAATTCTGGGAGTTGAAGTCCATGAGTCATAAAAGAGACGAAGTTGTCTACCCCTGATCTTGTTGGACAACAGCTTGAAGCTTGCCAGGTGAGCAGCAGATAGGGGGGGGGAGAAAGAGAGAGAGAGAAAGAGAGAGAGAGAGAGAGAGAGAGAGGAAAGAGAGAGAGAGAAAGAAAGAGAGTGGGGGAAGAGGAGTGGCAGACCAAGGGCAGATAGAGAGGGAGGGAGGGAGAGAGAGAAAGAGAGAGAGAGACCCTTTTGAGATCTAAAATGAAGATAACACTGCATATATCCTTTTTTTACCTGTGTGTATGTAATTTTATTCTCTTAAAGCATTCTCTTGGTGATCATTGTTTTAATAGTATGGATATTCCCAAGAGTCATATTTTTACTTTTATTTTTAATGTATGTGTGTGTGTGTGTGTTTGTGTGTATATACACATACATACATATACACACACATACATATATATATATACACATATACATACACACACACACACACACACACACACACACACCTATAATAAAGGTAAAAAAGGATATATGCAGTGTTATCTTCATTTTAGATATCAAAAGGGTTTTGTGGCTCTCGGTGTTTTGTTTTTGGTGGGAAACGGGTCCAAGTGGCTCTTTGAGTGTTTTGGGTTGCCTACCCCTGGGCTAGGTCTATCTCTACCTCGTCTGCCAAGATATACCAGTGTTGCAAATTTTGTTCCCCCTCCCCCCCCAGTGAGATACAGGTGTGGTGTAAAACACTTGATCAGGATGGCTAAATGGCATGCCAGCTCACAAAATACAGCTGGTGTATTCTGCCACCGACACCGGCCCTGGGTGATGGTTTTCATCCGGGTTTGGGCTTTGCGCTCTGCTAAAGGTTCAGATGACTGGTGGAGAGCTGCCATAAACTGATTGTCGTTTTGCAGTTGGGGGGCGTTATCATTGTGGAGGGAAACCATCCACTCCACAGCCGATCCTTCACGGACCATGGTCACACATCTTGACAGTCTCCGATCCCAATTTGCCCCCATACTCCTGCATGTAATTGCGCACTTGCGCTAGGAAGAATCCCAACGTTTTAGGGTCTCCCCTGAACTTCACCCCTAGTGCTGGAACTTTGGGGATCCGGCAACTTTGGGGGATTGCTTTAATCTGTTTTAATTACATGGCCCTCTTTCACTTTATATAAATAGGGACGTCTTGCTGCTTGGGGGTCTTGCCCGGCTGTGGCAAGAAAGAACCGACAGCAGCTATCAGTTCCCAGCCCCTCCTGGCCTGGAGAGTGACACCAACGGAAGCCGCTGTTGAAGGAGAGCTGAATGTCAGCCAGCTCTCCAGTGTATCTTTGAAGCTTGCTTGCTCTCAGCTGCCATGGAAATGGGGAGGAGGGTTGGGCATTTGGGGTGGGAAGCGTGCTAGTGTGTAAGTGTGTGCCCTGGGATTTGGAAGGGAGGTTTTTCTCTCATGAGCTATGGTGCTTTAGAGTGAGGATGTTTATACTTCCCCAAGGTGAACCGTCTTGGAACTGACACCCAAACTCATTGGTAGCCTCACACTGCAATGAACAAGGACACACATTCAGTTTTGCAACTACTAAGATTGTTAGACGAGCAGGCACAAAAACAGCCAGGGACGTGATTAAAGACAGGGAAACCGGCCCCTCATCAATCAACAGGGGTGCTGATTTACCACCTGCCTATCAAGTACTTAGAAGGCGAGGGCTGGACAGCCCAAGCAAATGGTAGCCAACAACTTAACAACGGCACATGTCTCGCTGCATTGTATTGCACATATCATATTGCTCAGTTTGTGTCGGGGTGTTTTATCCTTGGGGTGGACAAGCTTTTGCCTTAGTGTATTCTTGGATTTAAAGTGTGAATGTATGCACGTGACAACAAACAGGTTTTTTAGTTTTCTCGGCAAGAATGCATATATGTATGTGACAAACGAAGCAAAATTGTGATTCCATATGTTATAGAAATATCTGAAAAGCTCAGGAGGATTTTCAATCAACACAACATACATGCACACTTTAAACCCAAGAATTCAAGAATAGACCTTCCTCAACAGAAGGGAAGGACACCCTCTATCCCCTGTCTAAATACAGTCTTTTCAGCAGTTTCAAGAAGATCCATGCCCATTTGCACTATTCAGGTGACCCTGAGGACACATAAACCCTCAAGTGGCCTCAGCAGCTCTCAGAGAGAGTGCTAAAGACCAGATGACTGCGAAGAAACATTCTTCCATTCTCCCCCACCATCCAGTCTGAACTGATAAAGCTTCTTGGATGAGAAGCAAAACGTCCAGTTGCCTTTTAAAAACAACCATGACGTGGACGCCTGAGAATCTCCATAGACTCAGAGGTTGAGTATTATCTAAAATGCAGTAGTTGAATACGTTGTCAATATTTCTGCCTTATCAGATGCTCAAAAAGATATGAAAAATGTCTTGAAATTTGGGGAGGATTAGTTGAATACCTATGAAATTCTTCCTATAAACAGCTCTGTGCATAGGAAATGTCTAAAAAGAAAAAGCAATGAGCTGTTGTGTCCTAATTTGATTTTTTACAAAACCTCACTTATTAGATATATTCATTCTTTGTGTTTTTCTACACATTTGGTGTCCATTGTCAAATTCTTTGGGACATAATACTATTAGAAAGATTATTTTAGGAGACAATTTGTATTATCATGTAATAGTCTGTTTGTTATATTTTGTTCAGAATTGTTTTTGAAATAAGTCTTCGCATCTTCAGCCAGAAATATATACTTTTAATTGAATGAGCGAGTATTGGACTAAGATTTCATGAAAGTAGAAATTTTACTTGTTTTTCTTAATGTATACTGAACAGAAATCGCGTTTCAGACAAAGCAATACAGATTTATCCAGTTGACTATAATCTAAACCATATTGTTCTGAATATATTGGCATGGTGTGCATGGATTAAATTGCACTGTGCTCAATAGTATTGTTTCCATAGGAACTAATGTACATGTATGTCTTAATAATTCTGCAGTCAGTTAAATTTTGTTGTACAAAGGACAAACAAGATCTTAACTATGTTAACTGAACTTTTGGATCTGACTTTTTTTTAGTTGGCATATTCTCAAATTCTATTTTACTAGTTGTCTCCCCGTCTTAGATATCCCAGTTTTACTTCTTATATTGCCTTCCCCTAAACGTGGCACCCTCCAGGGCTGTTGATTTAGAATGCAACCTCCGCAATTCGTAATAAGCATAGGCAGTTTTTAAAAACATTTATTGATGGATTTGACTTGTATCCTACCTTTATTTTAAGCATTTCTGGGAAATCTTGGAGCCTGATAGGTTGGGGAGGTTGATGGTTTTCCACCTTCATACCAAAGTAGAGTTTCAATTTAACATAAGTGAGCTTTGGAGCTGTTAAACTGTTTTCTGTCTCTCTGGGTTGATGTCTTTGGTCTTGTGCTTGAGATTCTTGAGAAAGCATGAGAAAACTGTTTTATTGTTTTTATTTTATTTGCTGCTCATCCCTCACTTCATAAGTTAGAATATTTTACACACACACGTCCATTCACTTTTACCTTTACAGGTTTTTCCGCAGACCAGAGGGGTGTGGTTTTGTGTGCTGCCTGTATCCCACGGATGGGGCTTTGCTTGTTTGTGCGGACCGGTTGCTGGCATGCTGCGGCCCGCTACCGGTCCTTGGACCGGGGTTTGGGGACCTCTGTTGTAGATAAAAGAACACATTCAGTTCCAAACTAGAGAAAGTCATATAGAGTGCATGTTTTCCATATCCGTCCTTCCATGACAGATTGAAAACATCATAATAAAATATCTCCCAAAGTGTCTGCCTTCAATTAGTCAATCCATACAAACATAGTTCACATTTGACCATTCCCAAGTTTCAAACTGTGGCATTAGATAGTCAAGGCGAAGACTCAGAATTTTAAGGAGCAAAAATATTGACTACTTATGCATTTTTAAAAAAGTATTTCTACATGTAAAATGCCATAGGATCATTTTTGGAAGTGCAAATGGCATAGTTTATTGCTTTTCAGCCTCAGAACTGCATAAGTGTGAATTCTGGTTTGAAATCAGCTTTGCAAATAGGATTGAATGACCTATTAAATTTAAAACATTTGTCAGTCATTACTAAGCCCACTTCTAAAAAGGACTTTGCTAAGGCAAACGAGTTTTCTTTTACCAGAGGCGCTCTCATAGGCTCATAACTATATTCTGTTGTTTTCTACTAGGACACAGTTCTAGCTGAACTGCTACAGATTCAGAAAGAACATATAGTGGGTTATCATGAACACGATTCCCTTCTAGACCACAAAGAGGAAGAAGAATTGACTGAAGAAGAAAGGAAGGCAGCTTGGGCTGAATATGAAGCTGAAAAGAAGGTAGGCTGTATTAAACAATCAAGTTCTAGGTAGTATACTTTAGAACAACCAAGCCTGTATTCTGTATCAGAGATATGGAACCTGCCTGTCTACCTGTCTAAAAATTGGCTTATGATAGCATCATCCTTTATCATGAAAATTTATGGGAACTGCAGTTCTGACAACTTCTTGAAAGCCATCGATCCTTGTTTTTTCAGTTATCTAAAGACAGAAGAATTGCTTCTAGCATGAATAGTCTTCTACTGTAGGATGTCTTTAACGAAATTACAGTGGAATTCCATTAAACGTGATGAACTTCTATTTTGCTGTGATTTTTATGATCCTAGAAACTTTCAAGATATCTGATCTTTTCTCAGGAGCTCAAAGTGCCATAATATAATAACTTCTTTCTCCACCTTTTAAAAACTTTTATCTGTGAGGTCACTTGGCATGAGAGAGATTGGCTAATTCAAGGTCACCCAGTAAGCTGCTTCGTTTAAGGGTGGGCTTGAACTTGGGTCTCTCCATGTTCAGTCCAACACATGAATCGATATACCACACTGGTTGCCTACATCTAGAAAAGTAATGTTTCCACGTGCTTCTTTGATCATCCCCTTCCTGACAATTTATATCAAGTCAGGGGAGGATTGGTTCTGTGGAGACAGTTCAGTTTGTTTCTTGGTGGGGCACGCTCTCTCTGTGCAAAAAGATAGCAAGAAATTATTAAATCTTCTCTTTACTCAGAAACGCTGGAAATGCAGCTGGACTCCAATGTACCATTATTGACTCTTAAGTTGATTAAGGAAGTGTTAGCTTCCCAACTCTAAACACTGATTAGTTGGACCTATTTCCTTTAGTTAGATTTTCAGATGAGATATTTCTTTGGCTACTTTGGTGGGTGACTTTTAAAACTGGTTAGAGAGAATGCAGCCATCTAGTTCTCTTAGATATCCTGACAGTTTTTGATACCATTAGCAGTTTTATTCTTCTGGACCAATTTGTAGGGCTGGGACTTAGCTGGGTGTTTTGCAATAGTTTCCACCTTTTCTGTCAAGCTGTGTTCGGAATAAGGAGCTGGAAGGGGGCAATACTATCAGTCCTAGATGTAGACCGTGCCTAGTTTTCTGTTCTTTGCCCTATCCCCATGGCCATCAAAGGGTGAGGGAGTGCCAAAATGTGCATCACAACACTACACCCCTTTTGTACATGCCTTAGGACAGTGATGGTGAACCTTTTAGAGATCAGCTGCCCTAAAAACCACCCCCCTCCCCCACTGCGCCTCCCACCCTACCTTCTCCGCCCCCACCCACCCCCTGCCCCACCCGCCTGCAGGGCCATGCACCCCCTCCGTGGCCTGCTGCAGCACATTGCCAGGCAGCCCTGCAGCACCATGGCAGCCATGCCCTCTGCCCACACCCGGCAGCATCATCTGCACGCTATGGGGGTGCAAGGGCGGAGTCTTGTCCCTGTTGCCCAGGGGCGACTCTCCTCCAGGGGGGCTGCTGGTGAGGAGGGGGCCGTGGGGGGAGGCGGAGCTGGGGCAACAACGTGCATGTCCACAGAGAGGGCTCTGAGTGCTGCCTCTGGCACCCGTGCCATAGGTTCACCACCACTGCCTTAGGATGTTGCACGCATGTATGTAGTGGGGAGGGATTCCATGGCAATAGCTGTGATGCATGTTTTGTTGTTCTGAGAAAACCTCTGGGTTCTATGAATTTTTTTGCATCTAACTCCAAGCTGATTCCCTTAACTAATTCTGAACTTCATCCCAGGCCAGATGGGGCTGAACTGAATTTCCAGGGAAGGTGAGGGACATGTTCAAACAGAGGCCAGAGAGTTGCCTGTGATTTTTATATGAACAGGAAGTTGTGGCTGTTCATTTATGTCCCATTTCAATTGTGTTCTGAGAAATCTCAGAAAGACAAATGGGAATTTGTTAGCAGAGGACTGGGCTCTGGGGTTCAACTGGTCTAGTTGGGATTGCACTTGATCCTCAGCTGTCAGGATGGTTGCAAGGAGAGCATGTGTCCAGGTGTTCCAGAGCTGGTCAGATTTGCTGATGGTTATCCTTGTTTTGGGTGCATCCTGACTTGATTATTGCCGTGCACTCTGAGCAATGTCCCTTGACCCTTGGGGGAGATCCAGAAGCTTCCATTTGTGCAAACTACAACAGGCAAACAGGACACTGAAAGAGCTTTCTGCCTGTGAATATGATCTTTCTGAGGTCTGTTTGTTGTACAAGATAACTTGCTTTAGCCAGGCATTTTCAGGCTGAGCAGTTATTTTGACTTTTAATTGCTTTTTTTTCATACTATTAATCGTCTTGAGCTCTCTGTGACAATTATATACCAACTCAAGTCATTGATTCTGTCTTCACAGGGACAAAATTAAATTAAAGCATTTTTCTCATAGTTTACCAGAGGCCAAAAATCAACCGCAGCACTTCATAATTGTGGCTTGAGTTTATTGAAATGAGCATGTGAACGCTAAGGGTGCCCAGCACTGTGAGTTCAAGTCCCCAGAAGGACTTTGGAGCACACAGGGGTGCAACCCCCCAAAGCAGCTGCCTCTTGTCCCTGGATTCAACAGCTGCTGCCTGGGCCAAAAAACTAGTACTGACTAGAAGGCTCAGGAAAAATACTTGAAGAAAAGAACGACTCCACACTTCCAGGAAAACTTTTTTACGAACTTGTCTCTCTCCTCATTGCAATTGGATAAACGGGGTGACGGGCAAACAGCAGCACGGAAAGGTTTTTCCCTGCAGTCTTTCTCTTTTTAGTTGTGGATGCTCCAACACTGGAGATTTTAAAGAAGAGATTGGGCAACATTTGTCTGAAAGGGTCTAGGGCAGGGGTAGGCAACCTTGGCTCTTTTATGACTTGTGCTGTGCTGGCTCAGGAATTCTGGGAGTTGAAGTCCATGAGTCATAAAAGAGCCAAGGTTGCCTACCCCTGGTCTATAGGGCTTCCTGCTTGAGCAGGAGATTGCATTAGAATACCTCCAGGGTCCCTTCCAACTTGGTTATTCTGTTATTCTGAGATGGGGCTGGGTTGGGAGGAATTCTCTTGGCTTTCCCCCTCCCTTCCAGCTGTTAAGATAGCTGCATTCCTGGTCTTTTTAGGCCAATTGCGTTTCCTTATTTTGGTTGCAAATAGCTCTAACATTGGAATTGACCCCTGAACAGACTTTCCTATATTTAATTAGTTAGTGCTGTTCTGTTGGCTTCTTTCTCAGTGCTGTAACTCTTGTCAGATATCATTGCAGAACATCAGGGCCAGCTTATAGTTGCAATGGAAGCTTCAGAACGTGTTTTTTAAAAACTGCAGGGTGACATTTAAGCCAACCATATATTTGTGTCCTTTGTTTTGTTTGAATGCTATTAGCATTTTTGTTTTGCTTTCACAAATTAGGGTAGAGAGTTGTTGTATAATTTCTCCAGATCAAGAGTGGCAGTGTTTTTCTTCATTTATGATGATATAGGAGCTTCTTTGAGTTTGAGAAATCAGTTCTGTTTATTATTTTTTTAAAAAAATTCCAAGGCTTGGATAATACATGCTAACTAAGTACCACTTTCATCAGCTGAATTTAGGCTAGGCATCCATATTTTCAGGCAAAATAAATTTACCAAATTCCACTTTCTTGTGCTAGGCCTTATTATCATTTTGAGACTTAAACTGTTAACATTATTTCTCAGTAGCCAGACTTTCAGCTTGAATACTCAAAAGTGCCATTCTGGTTTTTTAGGGTCTGACAATGCGCATCAACATGCCAGTGGGGCCAAACATGTTCCCCCCCAATTTCACATCTCAGACTCCATATATTCCTTTCAACTTGGCAGCCTTGTCTGCGATGAGCAACCAGCAACTGGAGGTAGGTGGCAAGATCATAGGCTCTGTCTGATCTGCTTGTTTGCTTGTTATTTGTTAGAGTAATATGAGCATTATTTTTTTATCTGGCCCTTGATGAAATGTAGATAATAGCATTTTTTAAAGAATTCCATAGTTTATATCTTTGTTCGGTCTTACTGTTGTTTCATACTGAAAGTGTTACACTTTTGTGCAGTATGAATTTGTGAGTTGTATTATTAAAGACGAAATCATGAGCACTTAATTGTTTTCAGGAAAATTAGTTTGAATATAAAAGCTGCTGATTCCATGTTCCATTGCTAAGTGAAGCAAAGCTTTTCCTAAGTGAAAATGTTTTATGTTTTTACATCTGTCTCCAGGATGGGTAAATTGTTTTCCTATCTAGTGCAGGGCTTTTCAACCAGTGGTACAGGTACCATTTGTGCTACATTGGCACCTGGCAGGTGGTACGCGACCATCCTAGAAAAGTGGTAGCAGGGGAGGGAAATAAGCTGAACCAGTGGCAGCACCGCACAAGCCTGAGCGAGAGACGGCTGGAGCTGCAGGGCTGTCAGGGCTCAGCGGAAGCGCCAAGATCAGTGCTGCTTTCCAGCTGATTGGCGCTTCGGGGCTGTCAGGGCTCAGTGGAAGTGCCAGGATCAGCGCCAGGCTCCAGCTGGAAAGCAGCACTGATCCTGGCACTTCTGCTGAGCCCTGAAGACGCACCAATCAGCTAGAATGTTGCAGCATCTCCAGGGTCTTGTGATTTGCGCAACCATCCAGCAGACGGGAGGAATAAAAACCAAACACCCTCCCCCCACCCCACCTCCGCTGCCAATCCCCAACAGAAATGCTCACAACAATGAAAACCTCGGAGAGGAGGAAGAGCGTGGCCAGGTGGGTAGGCAGGTGTCTTGCTCCACTGTGCTTGGGGGGCACTTTTTTCAGTTCCATTGTAACTTCGAACAGTCATTAAGCGAACTGTTGTAAGTCGAGGACTACCTGTACTTTATCACTTTTTTCCTTTTTTTTTTTTGATCAAGTTTTTGACAGCTTGCTAAGCGACTGGTGGTACTTGGATGTTGCTGTATCCTAAAAGTGGTACAATGGGTGAAAAGATTGAAAAGCCCTAATCTAGTGCCTCATAGCATGATTTGAAATGAGACCCTGTTTTTGCATGATTTAGATATATAAAAGCGTATGTAGACATGTGGATACAAAAATTCATTATCTTTAAGAACACCTCAATTTCTGACTGTTCAACCAGTTTTGATGACTTCCAAAATTCCTTCCAGGACCTCATTAATCAAGGCAGAGAAAAAGTTGTGGAAGCAACTAACAGTGTTACTGGTGCAAGAATTCAACCCCTTGAAGACATTGTTTCCTCTATAGTAAGTGTGGTAGAAAATGCGATCATCCATTTTTGTTCTGAAATTGTATACTTTTTTCAAATTGTTGTGTCATGTTCAAACTTTAGATGATAAATTGCTATTTCTTTTGTCTAGTTTTATTTCAAAACTTTGATTTTTTAACAGGTCTTTTAAAAACACATATTTCTTTTGCAGTGTAATGTTATATAAAAAGGCAGGGTAAAAATCTAATGAGAAGGAGGAGTTGTTAATACAGTCGGGAAAGATTTAAATTTTGGCACTGAAGTCAGTTGACAACTGTTTGGAGTTGTCTAGATTAGATAATTGTTAATGAGCATATGTTAGACTGTTATTCAAAAATGTCACTGATTCTCATTAATAACAACAACCAGTTATTTGGAATCTCCAGAATAAAGTCTGGGAGTTGCATCAATGATGAAAGCAGAGATGAAGATATAACTTGTAATATGGAGCTGGTGTTCCTGACCAGATGATGCTCAGTTTGTGTGTGATCTGATTTGTGGATGGCATCAGACTCTCTTTGTCAATTGACTGAGTGGAAGGAAGACTCCTCTGGACATGGCTGACTTCATAGGAGAACAGAGGACAATGATGTATATTTCCTCAGTGAGCCTTCAAGCCCAGCCTGAGCCAATTTCAGTAGTGCTGACCCTTTTGCAATTGGCCCTTCCTTACTCTGCTCCCCACTCATGGCAACGCCTGTTCAAGGGGGGGGGATGCGAAATCTTGGCAGGGCAGTCCTTCAGGGGAAGCAGCTGCCTGACTCTGCTACAGTATTGGGCGGGAAGGCCCCAGGTCTGGCAGGAGAAGGGGAATTCCTGCCCGTGGCCAGGCCACAGATGGCCTGCTGCTTCTGTGCTTCCTGACGCCATCCCTGGAGAGGCAGAATTGGCAGCAACTCTGTTTCCCCTCTGCATTTCACTGCTGATCCCAGGTTGCTTCTGTCAGAGAGAATCACCCGTATTTGTGTGGGGAAAATGTGAGGATTTGCTCTCCTTTGAAGAGCAGCTGGAATGCGTGGCGATCAGTCGTCCCTTTTCACAGAGAAAGGGCCCCTCTTGGGAACCTCTCTGAAGGCCCTTGTGATGCTTTTCTTTTGCAGTGGAAGGAGAACCTCACCCTGACAGAGTCTCAGGTCCAGGCTTTGGCTCTGAGCCGCCAGGCAAGTCAGGAGCTGGATGTGAAGCGTCGGGAAGCTATTTACAACGATGTCTTGACCAAGCAGCAAATGGTGAGGAAAAAAACTCAGTCTTGGTGGTTCGTGTAGGGATGTAGAAAGTGACTTCTTTGTATGGACCTTGTAGGATCGCTCCCATCCCGAGTTGTCTCCCAGTTGATTTGGAAGCACCCAGACAACGTTTGGATGGGAGAACTAAGGTGTAAGATCTCTAGTCTGGCATAGTGCCCAAAATGTGAAATCATTATTTTCCCTTTCCACGTAGCTGGAAAGCTTGTATTAAGAAAAATGCTTCATGGGGAACATTGGAAGACTTTGCTCTTACCTCCTTTCCCTTTGGGGCGGGAGGGGAGCATCAAGTATTATTGATTCCTGGTGACTACGTAGACAGATCCATTGAGTTTTGTGGGGTGTGATTTTGGAAGTGGCTTGCCCTGACATCCTTCTTAGAGAGAGAGGATGATTTTGTGCCTGGGACAAGACTAGAACTCAGGGTCTCTCAGTTTCTAGCCTCTAAAACCAACCAGCTATAGTGATATGGGGGTAATAATGTGGTCAGGTTCCTGGAAGGATTTCTCAGGAAGTCTCCTCTTGAGCAACCTAGGAACAGCAGCACGTAAACCTTGCATAGCATTTTATGGTAGCCCGGGGTCAGTGCCATTTTTGGCCCTGGTCTTCTATTTCAGATGGATGTAAAGAGAATGCGCACTTGCATTTTTTCCCTTCCATGCTTCAAAGTCAATCTAATTTATAAGTTTAAATTGAGTGAAAATCGCATGCCTTTAGAAATAGCCTTTGAAATATAAAATGGGATAAGACAACAATGGAGCTGTGTGGGGTCAGACTTTTTTATGCTTCAGTGGGGCTTTACCCCCTAGAAAGTGCCACCTCTCAAGGAATTAATGCATAATAAAACGGATTGGTAGTTAAAGGATTGCACTTGGACATTTCTGATGAGACATTCTGTGAAACTGTCAGACTGGCCACAACCTAAAACCTCTAAATATAAACGGTCCATGGCTCCATGTGTTGAGAAAGGTATAATTGTATTAGAGGTCAAGTGTATTGCAGTATTGCACAGCCAGAACTCAGAATTGTGCACCAAAATCCCTAAGACCTAGTCCCCCCCCATTGTCCCTCGCTGCCCCCCCCCCACTGTCCCAAATCAAGTCCATGCAAGATGTTTTCATAACCGTCAGTCCAAGTGCAGCTTGGTCGAGGGCTCCCTCCTCCTTCCATCTGGGTGACTTTGGAGCAGTGTCTCAAGGAGGGAGAGTGTCTACTTTCAATTCCCCAAGCATCCCCCTCCCCACAGCTCACGGCAGTCTGTCAGCCAAGCACAGCAAGCATAAGGTGACAGCTGACCGAAACGGAGGCTGCCCATTCCTCTGGCAACTCGGATAAAGGCCACTGGCAGAGAAAATCGTGGTCTGAACTGGGATCACCTAGCAACCCCTCCAGTCACCAGTTTGCCAATGCCCCCATGTTAGCAATGGCGATGGCAGTCTGGAGGGGGGGATATCCCTTAGTGCAATGGTATGTGAGAATGACCTTGAGGGAGGAGGGGAAGAAATGCTACTTAGGAAAGGATCAGAGAAGAGGGGCGGGAGCCTCCAGAGGCTTCAGGGTTAGAGGAAGGAACTGAGCAAGGGCCTGTCCTGGTTGATTTAGATGGTTAAAAGTGGCGGTGAGAAGTTTGTCCTGCAGATATGAACAGATACTTCTGTTAATGCAGCTTTACAATAAAGTAGCATGAGCTCATCAGATCATGCTTCCTGCCCGGCTCACCAAGGCGGGGGCCCACCCTCCACCCGGGTGCCCGGCCGAAAAGGAAGGTGCGTTCCGGCCTGCTCACAGCTGCCCTTTCCTCCCACAGCTCATCAGCTGCGTCCAGAGGATCCTGATGAATCGGCGGCTGCAGCAGCAATTCAACCAGCAGCCACAGCAGCCGCAGCACCCGCAGCTCGCCTACCAGCAGGCTCAGCAGGCAGCCATGAGCCACCTGATGATGCCCAAGCCCCCCGGCCTGATGATGAACCCCTCCAACTTCCAGCAGATCGACCTCAGAGGAATGTACCAGTCGGTTGCTGGCGCCCTGCACCCCCCGCCCCTGCAGCGAGCGCCTCCCCCCATCGGTGGCAAGAGCCCTGGACCCTCCCAAGGGAAACCGATGTGATTTTGCACTAGCCACTTGAAGGATTGTTAAAATCGGAGAGAGAGAGAGAGAGAGAGAGAGAGAGAACTTTTTTTTATTTTTTTAGGAATCAGTGGCTTAACTGAACTCAACTGTATAAATAGTTCCCCTCCTCTTAGCCATACCTTCTATTTTATTATTTTCATATTGTTTTGATATGATGTGCTATCCTGTCCCAATCTTTGTCAGTGACATTGGCGAGAATCTTCTTACATGTGTTGAGTACAGGAGATACGGAGTTGTTTTCAGTGAAAACAGCCCCTTCCGTCCCAGGAAGGGGCTTTGCGGGCTTCCTCTCCCAACTGCCATGAAAACAGCCGTCGGACGAGAAGAGCCTTGAGAACTTCACCCAGATCTGTATATTTCGGTCCTCACACCTCCATGTACACAGCTGAGTTCTTGGTTAGAATTGATTCCTCAGATGATGGGACTCTTTTCTATTTCTTCCCACGCGGCACACAAGACTGACCCAGAAGTCTGTTCCACTCTTTATGATTCGTGATGGAAAAATAAAGCATAGGAACTGAAAATGATCTAGAGACAGTGCAATATTTTTAAAAAACTACCGCTCTAAAATGTCTGAATTACAGTTTTCTGGAAACTGTTTGCAGCCTTAAGTTATGGCTGAGGAAACTCTCTTTTCTCTAGCCTTCTGCCACTCCTGTTTCCTCTTTGGGGACGGGACATCCAGTACCTTTTTATCCTTCAGCAATGTTTTTTCATCTCGCACCGACTCTGATGCAAAGCACATCTCTACCGACACCTTTATCCTGGTGCTGGTGTCCCATCCTGTTGCCGGTCAGTAGGGTGAGCGAGGAAGCGTGCTGAATTCCAGGGACCTTGGTGGTTTAAAGCAGGGGCAGGAGCCCTTGGGAGGGAGACCAGCTCCAGCCTTAATTTTGAACTGGCAGAGCCATCGCTCTCCGAGTGTGAAGGAAGGGGCTTTCACAACCTGCAGCACTGCTGGAGTGGTGAAACAATTCCTCCTTTTATAGATAGGTATCTCTGGCTATCTCACATTTCTTTCCTAGTTTTCATTCTTTTAAGAATATGAAGGTGAGGGAGAAAAAAACAGATTTTTTTTTTAATTTCAACCCTAGGAGGAAAAAAGAATGTCCGATTAATTACAGCATTAACGGCTACTTTTCAGCATAAAAATGGAATTGTCATCTATTTTCTGTTTTGGCAACATAAAGCTTTTTTCATGCATTAGTCCATCTGATTTTTTCAAACAGAAGAAATTCTGGAATGCGAGCATGATAATAAAATGACAGGTGTGTTTGTGCTACTGGAGTCAGAAGAAGAAAATGTACAGATGGAAGAACTGACTACAGACCATGAAAAGTGAGAATTACTAATATCTGTGGGAGTCTAAATTTTTGGCTTTCTATATCATTCTTGAGGAACAATGCCTTTTTCTTCTCTTACCTGAATCTTAGAATTTAGACAGCACTGATTTTGGAGAACATTTTTATTTTTAACTAGATACTTCTTGATTGGTGATTGGAACATCTGTTTTACGGGAAAAAATAATTGTGAGTTATTTTTAGTTCTCTTTTCATAGTGAAATAGTGGGGTGAATCTTCAGCCCAACTTCATCCAGTGGAGTTAATTTATTACTTTACTTTAAATTGGTAAAAAAGGAAATGCTCCAAAATTTGTGCTTACTTCGGAAGAAACAAAATACAGACTTTCTGAGACAATTGTTTGAAAGCAAATATATCTGTCCAGAACATTCCTACATTTTCTGAGTTGAGAATTTCTAAAGATTTAATATGAAATTTAGGCAACATTTTAAAATCCCATTATTTTTCCCACAACAAGGAGATACCCGATGTGGATGAGGATGTCTTCGAGACTTGGACCACTTACATATTTCTCACAACATTATAGCTGCACAATAATGTGCTTTTGAGTATAACATCAAGCTTTAATCAATATTTAAAGACAGAAAACAAAAACTCATTTTTATATTTGTTTTAGATGTTTTCTCTAGTTGAAATGGCTTATATAAGATGATGAATAAAATGTTGCTTGTAATACAATTTTGCCTGCTAAATTCTCCACATTTTGTAACCTGTTTATTCCTTTGGATGTAAAGCGTTTTTGCTTAGTATTGTGATCCTGTACATGTTTTTGTCCCAGTTGTATAGTAATGTTTCAGTTCCTTGACCAGCTTTGGCTGCTGAATCATACAGCTGTGAAAATTTGGCCTTCATTTCTGTTTAGATGGCTTTTTCAGTTATGTATTAAATATCATAAAAGTACTGTAGAAAAGATGTCACTTCTTCCTATAAGGCTGTTTTGTAAAATATATATTATGGACTGGAAATTGTTTTTAAAGAAAAGCATTCAAGTAAGACAGTATGCTATCTGTGTTTTCACCATTCAAAGTGCTGTTTGGTAGTTGAAACTTAAAATATTTAATATCTCATTTAATAAAGTGACCAAAATACATCCATGTTCACTGTACTGTTTTGGTTCTGCTGCTGCCCTATCTGGCACAAGACATAGGAACTTCCTTGTTGAATCAGGACCTCCCCCCTCCCCCGCTTCTGTAGTGACCCAGCTAGATGCCTTTGGCAGCCCCACAAAGGTTTCTCAGGCACAGCAGCATCCCTTTCCCAATTTTGTGCCCCAGTTTGCCCCCAGATGCTCATAAACTGAAAACACTGCTTGAGATGTTAAACAGTCTTGTTTAAATTAATACTTGTAAAGATAGCCCCAAATATTTTCAGTTTCAGCTAGGGATTAACTCATCCATTCTAGTTCCCCAATCAGGATATTTTTTTAAAAAAAGAAGCATAACTTGGGTCACAAATCTGAACAAGACTTATGATTTTGTAAAGCTCAGTTTTGCAATTGATTTTTCCTTACTAGGAATTTTTCCCTGGTGAATCTCCTGTAAAAATTAGGAAACAGCACATAAAACAATTTCCTGGCTTGAACCTCACTTTAAAAACAAAAACCATCATCCAGCACAATTTGAACATTCTTGCAATCAAAAACTTTGAAGATAAGACTTTTACAACTTTTCATTCTCCCAAACAAATCATTAATATTGTGTAAAACTAAAATCTTGAACCAGAGTTCAAGATGTATCACTGGATGCATTAGCACTATAGTTTTATTGGATCTGTGGCCCCTGGAAAGCAGGATGTTAGCATGCTTACTTTTCAGTTATTTTGAAGTTTATTAATACAAGTGTTTTCCAGGTGCCCCCGTAAAACACCTCTAGTGGATTTTCTCTGCCTGATGCTCTTAAGATCCCTTGGGTTCCACCAGCGATAGAGAAATGCACTTTAGGAGGACGTTGCAGTTTTTAAAATTTGTATTCAGTCCCTGTGGATTTTACTCCGTTAGTTGTTGCCAACTCTCGGGTGTGGTGCTCCTCTCTGTTTCAAGGCCATGGAGCCAGCGCTGTCCAACGACATTTCCGTAGTCATGTGGCCAACGTGATGTCATGGAGTGCTGTTACCTTCCCACCAAAGTGGTGCCTATTTATCTACTCACATTTGCTTGCGTTCAAATTGCTAGGTTGTTACAAGTAACGGGAGCTCAGGCTGTCGTGTGACGCTCGGGTCTCAAACCTGGACTGCCGACTTTCCAGATAAGTCCAGTGTCTTAACCGCTGAGCCACCGCACTGCTCTTTTAAAAAAAAATGTATTACTGGGGGGGGGGGAAATTGCTTGTAATGCTCTTGCATTATCCAATTGGCTTGATCGTATGATTCACCTCACCTGCACCCCCAATCCTGGGTGCAGCCTAGTTAGTTGATACCGCCTCTTCTGAATCTCACTGGCAGAAGATAAGCATAAAAATGTTTCCCTGAGGCCAATGCAACAGAAGATTCATTTAACTTTGACTAAGAAATATGGTTAATGTTCTGGCACATCGTCAAGGCCCGTCAACCTGGGCCACAGAGCATGTGCTTCCCCAATAATGCCTGTATTACCGAGACACGCATACTAGCCTCTCATCGTTTCTGCACCCCTGCCCAGGAGGCCCAGAATCACACGTCCAGCCACTTTCAGATACCAACATACAGCGTGGCCCGTTCTGTGCAGCAGCACTCAAAATTCATTGGATGATAACCTGTGCCATAAACTGAACCGTGAGCATCTACTAGTGCTCTGTAAGTTGATGGATGGCATTCTGTATATTAACCTCTTAGGTTCCTCTGTACCCATCTAACCCTCCCACACCATTTTTAGTCTTGCTTTTTTATATGCTTTAATGCATATTTATATTTTCCAGCTTTTTATATTTCTTTAGACTAAGGTATCTTTTGTGCTTTTTAATCAAGTGCATCCCACCCTCCTTATGCTGGTCTGTCACTATAATAAAGATTTGATGCTGTTAAGAAATCAGATTGGGGGGAACTAAATTCTTGACTTTCTGCTTTTGACTGAACTAGAAGAATGAGCTACATGTTTAAGTCTCCGACTTTTCCACGGAGGAGCTATGGAATCAGCAAGAGACATACTGGATGCTGAGGGAGGAGAACAGCTTTGTTAGTCTTGGGTAGCCCAAATCAGGAGTAGTCACGTAGCAACTTACCAGGTGGACCAGACAAGAAACATCACCAGATGAGCTAATTCTACATTATTATAAGGCTATATTAACAGAATCTTGCAAGTGTAAAAGTGCAGTTCTCCTGCCATTGTCAGGCACAAATAATCAAGAACAGTAGTTAAGTTCAAAGCACTAAGAGTTTATTCTTGGCACTTAAAGACAAGAATCTGAGAAACTAATGGTCCAAGCTAAAGTGCTGCTAGATGAAGATCAATGGAATTCGGGGGAGGGGGGCAGACTCCAATTTCTTGTGACTGCAATGACCCTAAACCGATGATGCATTTAATCGCTCTTCAGATCAGTCTACTCAACTACAGCCATCAGTACAGTCCAATCACTTGGAGGAGAGTCCCCTTTTGGGTCTCTTTCTCCTCCCATTATGCAGATAGCTGAGCATCCCCTTGGCAGCATCTTTTTTGGCCTGTCTCCCAAGGTCATTCCCGCATATCATACACACATTCTATATTTGCAAAGTATTTCAGTAGTATTCAGATGACTGCATATGAGCTGCAAGTAAATCCCAATTTGCAGCAGAATGACAGGCAGATGAAGGCTCAAAGACATGCCTTCATGCACGTCCTTCCACTCCATTTGAATACAAAACCATGTTTAAAATCAGTGGTTGAGTTTCATATACTGTACCGCTCAGTTACTGTTTGACAAACAAATTTTAGAACTGCATGGGTATTTGAAGTATAAAACCAACTGGTCCTCGCTCAAGGTATAAAAGAATTCCAAAGGTTGTCCTACTTCTAGTCCATTGGCTCCTTTTAATGCTGCTATTTTTTTTTAATTTAAAGCTATCAATAATCATCACGGATGTACCAAATCTCTTTCATGGAATTGGTCTGCAAGGCTTGTTCTTAAAGCAGTCAAAATGAAGTCTTCAGTTTCTTTCTTCAGCACCCCTGATCTCAACCAGCTCCACGTTAGCTTTGTATCTACCTTTCGTTCAATGTCCTTCAGGTATTGACTGTGCATAGGCTTCTTTGACCAGTTAGAAACTTGATGTTCAGTTGTTTCCTTTCGAAACTCTGCTTTCAATCTTGTTTTTTTCAAGGAATTTCCCTTGTTCACGTCCTTCACCAGAGGCTCTTTTGCTTTACTTATGTAGTCATTTAAGCCGTGTTTTTCCTCTTCCACAGTTTGTTTCACCTGTAAGAGTCCTCTGCCACCCTGAGATCTTGGCAAGTACAACCGATCAATAATGATGATGATGATGATGATGATATGGTTCATCACAGTCAGCCAGGTGTTCAGACTGGATTTGGCATTTTTGTTTGACAAATGAGTCCTTCCCAAAAATGTGGGATAGACAGATGTAGATGTTTGATGGTGTTACAGATATCATCACAAGATGTAAGGTGTTCCAAGTTGCCTTTTGCAATTGACTGATGGTGAATTTGTCAATGCCAGTGGTGTTCAAGTGGTGCTCCAATTATTTTGGGATTGTATCCAAGGCACCTATTACTACTGATACTATGTTTGCTTTTTTATCACAGTCATTCTAGTACTATTTGCAGCTCTTCATATTTTGTTATCTTTTCTAAGTCTTTCTCTTTTGCTCTCTCTAGATACTGCCATGTCCACTATCCAGATTTTTTTGTTTTTCTTATTGGCAATTGTTAAGTCTCAGATATAATGTGGCAGGTGTCTTATCGGTTTGAATTCTAAACTCCCAGAACATTTCAGCTTCTTCATTTTCTATGATTTTCTCTAATTTATGGTCCTACCAGTTCTTGTTTGCAGGTAAATGGTATTTCTTGCAGATCTTCCAATGCACCATCATTACTACTTTATCATGCCATTGTTTGTAGCCAGTATGTGCAATCTTCTTGCAACAGCTAACGAGGTGATCCACTACTTTATCAGTTTCTTTGCAGGGGTGGCATTTGCTATTTGTTGCTGTCATCTCAATTCTGGCTTTATATGCATTTGTTCTTAAGGCGGCAACAGCATCACTTGGGTCACCAGGGATTCAGCTCCCCAAATCCTCTATTGTATCCTCCATATAATTTTAGTGCTCAAGGTTGGAAAAAGCTATCTAAATTACTGAACTTCTCCCAAATGTCTATCCCAGCAGACAATTCCTAGGACAGCTGAACTTTGATGGTCATACGTGGGAGGTGTTGGCTTTCTAAGGTTTGCTGGCCTCTGTTGGTGTCTGCTTCCTCCTCCTTTGGCACAACGAGCTTCAGAGAGAAAGCAGATGTTCTTCCTTTCAGGACTTTTGATGCCAACGGCCTCTTTGGGATTAAATAAAAGGTCAGCCCAATAATCAAGCAACGGATCTGTGAACACCTAGAAACAACAAAGCTATTACTGGCTTTGTCAAAAGCAGATCATGCCAGACAAACCTTATTGCCTTCTTTGACAAAGTGATTAAATTAATGGACCAGTAAAATGCTGTGAACATAGTATACTTGGACTTCAGTATTGATCAGTTTTCCAGCAATTGGCTGAGGCTTCAGACTGTCTCTGTTCAGACAGTGCTCCATTAACAATCACACACTGGGATCTATCCCTGAACCAACTTCCTATCTTCTGAACCACCCACAGGTTAAATCGTAGCCTCTTGTGAGTTCACTATGTGGAACTGTATCAAATGCTTTGCTGAAATCCCGTTTTTTTTTTTTTAATGAAGCTAGATTGCGCTGGATGGACAGATTGCTCTCCAAATTTTCTCCATGTTTAACAAGAAAATTGAATGAAATTGTACAGTTGGCAGAAAGCCTAATAATTTTCACAATTGTGGTTATGTAACCCTCACAAAGGAAGTTGGAAATATTTTACTCAAAAAAGCATGATTATATAAACCTCTAACAATATAGGCTAAAAAAATTTTCTATGCTGTGCAAAAGAATAGCCATCAGGATGAAGAGATTTTCCTTTTTTCATAATTCAATAGTATCTGTAGCTCACTAATAGTAACTTTGATTTATGCCATTCAATTAATATTGTACATCGGTGCACAGAAGGAATTCTTTCCAATTTAGTAGACAGAAAGGCTTTATTTACTTTTGATAGGTTGCCTGCATTTGTTCTCTCAGAAGTTCCTTATTTTCTTTCATGAAACAAAAATTCATGAATATTTATTTTATGGTTTTATGAACCATAAGCATATGACCATAACCATAATACAACAATGAAGACTATTTATTGAAAAAGGATGACATTGTCTTACAGTAGTTGAGAGTTTTATTGGTATTACATTTATGTCTCCTGTATTACATTTATCCACTTGATCAAATTAGAAGCAAGACATAAAAAAAGTAAGGATCATCTCTGATGTGTAGTTGAAAAAAAGCTATCAAGGATTTAAAATTTGCCATAAATCCCCTATAGATTTTCAAGATAGATGCCTGTTGCATTTGCTGGGCGTGAGAATTACATTTATGTGAAATAGTTTTAGGATTTAACAAAAGATTAAAGAGGAATTTGGAGGTAAGTTTAGGGCAGGGAGTTCCAGCTGAAATCCTTCTGTGTCTGCTGCAGAAGGACTCGTTCGCCAGCTCCAGAGCTGCAGTGCCAAAGCCTTTTTGTACATCTCGTATACTTTCGCAAAGTCCCTAGCAAGCTGAAAAAGGGACAGACACATCCTGATATATCATTAAATGTACATTGATTAAATTTTAAAAAACAAGGTACAGTGAAACAAAGCCATTTCACTCAAGTTACTAAGCCAGGAACCTTTTCATGAACCTAAATACTAATGGTTGGTTTTATTGCTGTGTTCAAGCACATCCTACGCCTCCTTTGACGCCGAGCCTGCTCCAGAGCACAAGGGAGGTGAAAGATTACAGGGAACAGATCTGCTCCACCCACCCAGTCTTGGGATCTCCTTGGATGGCCTGACCACCCGGGCCTGCTGTGGCCAGGAGGTTTCTTGAGGAAAGCCAGGAATTTTAGTGATCTTTTCTTCTTCACTAGGGTGTTGGGGTGTTTCGTATCTCAAAATGGTGGGAAATGACATGGTTCATGTATTAAAGATCATGGTTGGACGTCCACTGGGAGCATCCATATTATGACAAAGGATCAAAACAATTTAGTGCATACTCTTATGCAAGACTATTATTGTCAGAACGCAGGAGGGCTGGCCAAACTCCAACTGAAACCTTTAATTCAGCATTTATAAAAGTTGGATGTGTTTCTCAGCAGATCCCCCCCCCCCCCGAGGAATAAGTGGAAGTTTAAAGGTAAAAAAATAACACATATGTAGCAAATTATTTACAGGACACTAGATAATGTTTTAGGCAATGAAAAAACATGATTTCATCTTGGCCCTAGAATTCCCAGAGCCCTTTTTAGGGAAATCATCAAAGTGGAAAACAAGGAGAATTCTAGATTGTGTTCAAGAGATTAAAACAGTCGTTTTCTTAGTTGTTATTTTCCAGATGTGTGAGATTTCAATCCCCTATTTTCTCTACTAAGTATGACTGAAGGCTATGATGATGCAAAGAGAACCCTAATCCATCTGAATGACTCTCAGTCAAAAAAGATAGGACCACAATGTCAGTTGGGATACAACATTTGAACCACTTAATTCTGTTACAGTCAAAAAATAAGTAGGGATTAATAATTCGGTTACAATTACATGCCAGGGGCTCAGAGAAGGAACCAAATGGAAACGGATTGAAATCTAAAGCTCTTCTAAAAATGATTATACAAATCTTTCCTGGCATGTTTTCTTGGCAATGGCACAATGGCAGTTTGCCTTCTTCTGGTTTGTTTTTGCCTTCTCAGTCTAGCCTACAGCCGTGTTTCCCTACAACAGAATTTTTCAATCTTGGCATCATTAAGATGTGAGGGCTTCAACTCCCAAACTGAATTCTTGAAATGAAAGTCCACACATCTTAAAGTTGCCAAGGTTGAAAAGCCCTGCCCTGGAGGGCCTCCCAATCCATGCCAAGCAAGTCGGATCCTACTTAGCACCCCAACCCAGCCAAGGGCAGTCTAGGAGAGGGTTCTTTCCTAGCTAACCTGAGCCACATGATGGCCAGAGGAGAATTATCAGGATGAGAGAGGCATCCTGAGCAGGAAGTCCATGCGCCAACCATGCAATGATGGCGTTTAGGGAGAAATTTCTGTTTGTCCTTGTCTAAGACCGGTAGCAAGAAGAAACCTGGGATAGTTGGATCCAAACACTTATCTATGGCTTTTCTCAATTCTTCATTTTGAAATAAAGTGGGACCTGTTGTACAAATGCAGTAGAAATGTCCTGGTAACATGTGTTATATGAGGTAAAAATTCTTAATAGAAAATGTCACACTGGCTTGTGATTTGATGGCTGCCATCTTTTAGGGCAGGATACCAGGAACTGGTTGCCCTCCAGAATCCCAGTAACTTCACCAGGTTAGCATGCTGGGAACTATGATGCAATACCATATGGGGAAGCTCTGTGCTTCCCACTCATGTCATTTCCCAGGTTGTGAAAATGATCCAATTGTTGTTGTTTTTTTTAACTTTTTTTTTCCTTAGAGGAGCAAATTCTGGGCAGCTCAGAAACAAGATTTCCTACATGGGAGAAATGGATTTGTCACAAATTTAATTCAAATTTGGCTACAATTCTAAACTCATCTCTTTTAGTATAGTATAACAACTGAATGGGGCTAGTTTTGCAGAAATAGCTACAGAACCATCCACCAAGTGTATCTCTGCCTCTTTCCATCACTTACCATAGGATGTTTTCTGTAATTGTAGGTCTCTTCCACATTCATGGTTTTAAATCTTAAATTATGAATCAGTATCATTACAATAAATTAATAAGCCACCTGCAATATATAAAGACATTTTATTGCTGATAAAGCTCTTTAAAGTCCCTTCCTCTTTTTCCTACATCAGTAGGACCTTATTCTTTCTGAAGAAAGTTGGGTCATAATATCTCTCATTTAAAAAATAATACACATATATATATATTTATATATATATTTGAAATAAATAAATATATAAAATAAATATATTATACACTTTATAAATAGATTTGTCCTTACGAACAGTGTTGTGTTTCCATCTTAAAAATGCTTGTTCTTTGATCTCACCTCCTCCTTTCTGCTATCAGACTCCAACGGAAGGAAACACAAGCACATCAAAGTGTGCGCTTGGACATATAAAGCCACATTCACGCACATCTTCCTGAGGAGCCAAACATCCAATAGATTCTCCACTTTTATTACCATGCAAGCCCATGAGTTCTCAGATTTTGGATCACCAATATCTGGCAAGTCGCAAAGGACCAGCTTAGCAAGCAAGCTTTCCAACTTTTTGAGCACAATGCAAATTATTTCTGAATTCTTCTGTGCCCGGTTGCATAGCTCAGGATCAATGCTGCTGGTGGTGGTTGTCAAACACAATCTCTTCTGCTCAGAGTGAATGGCTTCCTCTTCTTAGCCCACCAAATTGTACATGTAATTGGAAAACGATCCTATGTAGGGTTCCAAGCTCTGCCCCATCCTGTTGTGCTCCCTGGGGACTCAATCCATCCTTCTTGTAGCCTTCTTTGAAAACGAAGGGATTCAAGGCAAGGGCTTCTCTATGCGTTAACTAGGCTTGCAGGAGGGGTGAAAGGAATAGGTTTGTAGTGCTCCAGCAAAAACTTTGGAAACCCAATGGTGTGTATGCTACACCATCATGTGCATTCACACCCCTATAAGGCTCTCAAGCTGCAGGGAGTATCACCTGTAGCGGAGAAGGTCTCTGTACACTGCAGGCATCTTAGCAGGATCTACTGGCCTAGGTAAAAAATGAGTAAATTTTTGATGTCTCTTAGTCCTGAATCCTTCTCGGGGAGACCCATCTTTGTTCAAGGCAATATAATACTGTCGCTCAGAATCAGTGTGCTTGTAGAGGGTCGAGGCATAGGTATTATACCAGTTTTCTTCAAATTGCTCGCGGAAAACACACTCCCGTGTGAGCTTCTTCTGTGTGAGCAGGAGGTGGGAAGGAAAGAAAGAGAGACATGAAAAACAATCCTGATAAAGGAAGGAAAAATCGCACTGACTCAGCCCAAAGATGACTAATAACTATGATTGAGTGATTTCTATCTTGCCCTCCTTCCAAGATCGAGATGGAAGATTACATTGTTTCTTTCTCTTGTTCACCAGAACTTCTTGTATTAGGGCCGATTATTGTTCGATTATTGCAGTTCTGTGCAAAAAATTAGCCCGTCCCAATATCATGCTAAAGGAATGGAAGCTGACCCAAAACCCTACATGGCACAAAGTTCAACACATCTCCTATGGCTTCTAAACTTCTGGCTTTGCATGTTGTGCCAGCCCAGTCCAATGTGGCTTAAACAGCAAGTTGTGGTTAAAATCCCTTGGCTTATCGTGATCTTTGATCCTACTGAAACTTTCTAATGTGGTCGGTACGGCTTAGGAGCGGGCATCTTCCTCAGTCAACGATCAATGGCAGCAATGTGCCTCTGTTGGAGATGATGGAAGTCGCTTCTTCGCCCTCCTCTTTGGGGGCTGTACTCCCATTACAGAAATTTAAAAAGCAAGTTGTAACTAAAGTGATCCAGAGACAGGATCAAAGAAATAAGAATTGTTTCACCACGGAGCAAGTTATGCTGTGTGAATATTAAACTGTAAGACACTGTTGTTTCTAAATACTACTCTAGGTCCACCAAGTCCCAAAGGAATAACTGCTTAGTTGCTTGTGAAAATATTGAAACTGAGCCCTTGTATTCACATTATTCAATTTGAATTAATTATTTAGTCTTAGCTTTATTTTAAAGACTTAGTGTTTGATGTTATATTTTATTTACATTATATCTGTGTGATTGTTTCTATTCTATTCCAACTTGTTTCGTATTGGACATTGGGGTGGTGTTCCTAGGACCACACGGCACCAACAAAAATGGGAGGGTGGGCATCCCCTCCATCAGGGAAATATATTACATGTTACTTAACTTTACACGGAAGGGACCTGGGTAGATCAGCGGGAAATCTCATCTGGAGAAACCACCTCAAACCACCACTTGTTGGGACCACCAGGAGGAAAGGCAGCTTAGGTGGTTTCCCTATTGAGTAAGCCTGTGGTAAGGGGAGGACTGAGGATCAGCCTCCCCAGACATCACCTCCAACTTGGTACCGTTAATCTCTCCTGCCAAAAGATACTCCAGGAGCAGGAGGGAGGTGTAGCATTCAAAGGGCTAAATGGACAAGTCGCCAGACTTGGGGTTATTAACAGAGGTGGGCAACCTCTCTTGTTTTGAAGTCACATGACTTTTACTGCCCCACCAGGGGGCACAGGGGTAGTGGTTGCCATCAGAGCCAAGTTTGCTTACCCCTGCCCTAAACTTTCCAAAACAAAACAAAACAATGAACTGATTTATGATGGTGGTTCAGTTTTTAAGAAGAAAGTAATGCTACTCAAAGAGAGTTCCCTCTTATAGAATTTTTGGCTAAATTGTAGTTTTATGACTTAGCCCTTAAACTATTTGTGAATTTACTGGTGGTGTAACTTCAGACAGATATTTAACATAGTTTATTGTGTTATCTGGATACATGTCTCTGTGTCTGTTGACTATTCCATATTTCACTATGTTAAGATTTGTAAACACAGCAATAAATCATTCCAATTTGTCTGGATTTAAGTTATTTACAGCCAATTTAACTCCCACTTAATTTGGTGAATCTGTTCTATACAAGTTCAAATATTGTATGCATTTCTCTGAAATTCAGATGTATATTTTTCCTGGAGGTATGTTGAAAATGGCATTTATGCTCTCATGAATCCCCAGTGTGCCACTGAAGGTCCCTGTGGAAGTTCCTCCTTGTAGTAGGAAGCTCCCTCAATGAGCACCCTTCTCCCCATAGTACTTTCATGTGAGGATGTGGCTCAAAGTCCTGCCTTTCATACAAGGTGAGGGGAAAAGGAGTTACGTCATCTCCATTGTGGCTCTGGACCTTTGCAATTTAATCTGGAATTCTTTTTGCAGTTTTAATTTTGGTTTTTGCTACATATTCCCTTTCTCCTCAGGAAAAAGGTGCCTGCAACTCGTGGCTCTTCCCAGGGCCATAAGCACACCAGCTGTCCCATCACTTAGAATCCAGGCACTCCTTCAAATGCCCAACAGATCCAGGTTATTTAAGGGAGGTCATTCTGAATAACATCAAGTTCTGGTAAGTCAGAAAGTTGTAGGAATCACACTTACCGATCCATACAGCTCCCCTCTCTCATTCATTCCAAGATAAAGGCCAGAATCCACTCCACGGATGCTAACCAGTCCTACAGCCAAACTTATAAACTCCAAAATTCCTTTTAGAAATAATAAAAAAGAGAGTTACTTGAAGAATGAAAAAGGGAGAAAAAACTTCACTCTTCTTGAGCAATGAACTTTCCCAAACCATATCACTTTGGAGATTGTACAGCCTTACTATCTTCTCGAGGGTGTGAGGCACAGTCCTTTCATTTTGAAAATTTTCATACACACACACACACACACACACACACACACACACACACACACACACACTAAGCCCATCCACATAAGCCAAACCAAATTTAGGGTGTGTGTATCAGCACCTAAAATTCTCAGCTTCTTTGTAAGTAATAGTAATAGTAATAGTAGTAAAGTTGGAAGGGACCTTGGAGGTCATCTAGTCCAACCCCCTGCTCGGGCAGGAAACCCTACACCATTTCGGACAAATGGCTGTCCAGTCTCTTCTTAAAAACTTCCAGTGTTGGAGCATTTACTGCTTCTGGAGGCAAGCTGTTCCACTGATTAATTGTTCTCACTGTCAGGAAGTTTCTCCTTAGTTCTAGGTTGCTTCTCTCCTTGATGAGTTTCCACCCGTTGCTTCTTGTCCTGCCTTCAGGTGCTTTGGAAAATAGCTTAATTCCCTCTTCTTTATGGCAGCCCCTGAGATATTGGAATACTGCTATCATGTCCCCCCTTGTCCTTCTCTTCGTTAAACTAGACATACCCAATTCTCGCAACCGTTCCTTATATGTTTTAGCCTCCAGTCCCCTAATCATCTTTGTTGCTCTTCTCTGTACTCTTTCTAGAGTCTCAACATCTTTTTTACATCGTGGTGACCAAAACTGGATGCAGTATTCCAAGTGTGGCCTTACCAAGGCATTGAAGAGTGGTATTAATACTTCACGTGATCTTGATTCTATCCCTCTGTTATATAGCAGGCATTTTATATATTGGCTCTTGTAAAGGGTGTGATGAGCAGAGGCAAATCCTCTATCCCATCACTAACAAGAACAAAATTTCTAGAAGCCCAGAGATTCTCTCTCCCTATCCCTGATAGTTTTTTCTTGGTTTTTGATAAATGTCAGGAATTGCAATGACTTAGTACCTGCCCAGAGCACTAGATAGCAAGGAAAGAGTCTATCCTAATATCTTTTCAGTGGCGAAACACAACGATGAAGCATGCTTCTCTTCACTGGAGGAAATATCTACGGTTCACCACTACTCCCCTATTCCTCCAATCCTGTTTGTAGACTTCTGAAAAAGCCTTACAGACTGTGGAGGACCTCAACCCAGAATCTCCTACTTGTAAGAATGAAATTACTAAACTTTGAGTTAAGGAAAAATTGGCAAAAGTCGTATTTATTCAAACAGTAAAATAAAGAAACACCAATTTATTTGCAGAGTTTTTAGGATGTCCAGCCATTCTTGAGAGCATCATTAGAGTGCACTACTGCTTTCCTTTTGCAGCTCTAAGGTTTTTGAGTACTATTTGGAAGGGCTTAATGCAATATATTTCAGGAGATATATAACAAGGCTTTCAGATTCATGAGGCAGGCACAAGAATCCTTGGGCAAACAAAAACATCATCAGGCTAAATCAGGGGTAGACAACCTTGGCTCTTTTATGACTCATGGACTTCAACTCCCAGAATTCCTGGGAGTTGAAGTCCATGAGTCATAAAAGAGCCAAGGTTGCCTACCCCCGGGCTAAATGAACCCTTGGTAGGTGAGAGAATCATAGGATATCAGGACTGGAAGAGACCTTGTGAATCGTCGTCCAATCCCCTGCAGGGGTGGAATCTATTATTATAAGCTCATTCCAAAGCACCCTCTTGACTTCAAACCATGACTGCCATTGCCTCACTGTCCCGGAACAGTTCCGATACCCAAGTTGCCTTGCTTCAGAGAGGGATCTCCTGTCTTTCAACAAGCATCAAAGTTTTTGTGTTTCTAGGCACACTAGAAAGCAGACCTGAACTTCACCTCTGAAGGCACAAAAGAACAGAAAAACAGAGTTGGAAGGCACTTTTTAGCTCATCTAGTCTAACCCCCCCCCCATCCAAGCAGGAGACCCTACACCATTTCTGAGAGATGGCAGTCCAGTCACTTCTTGAAAGCTTCCAATGATGAAACTCCCACAACTTCTGAATGCAATCTGTTCCATTGGTTGATTGTTCCCACTATCAGAAAATTTCTCCTTATTTCCAGGTTGAATCTCTCCTTGATCAGTTTCCATCCGTTATTCCTTATCTGGCCTTTAGGTGTTTTGGAAAATAGGTTGACCCCCTCCACTCTGTGACAGCCCCTCGTATATTGGAACAATGCTATCATGTCTCCCCTGGTCCTTTTCTTCACTAGACTAGCCATGCCCAGTTCCTGCAGCCATTCTTCATATGTTTTAGCCTCCAGGCCCCTAATCATCTTTGTTGCTCTTCTCTGCACTCTTTCTAGAGTCTCAACATTTTTTTTATAGTGTGGTGACCAAAACTGGATGCAGTATTCTAGGTGTGGTCTTACTAAGGCTTTACAGAATGGTATACTTTGGGGCACATGGAAATGCCCACATAGCACCTGTCTGACATTCTTACAGCCTCTGCACCCGGTCCAAAGAAAGCCCATCTGGAAAGGCAGTTTTGAAATCCTTTCCTGGCACTGTGGTAGTGTGCAGCTATGTGATCCTGGGAAAAGATGCAGCTGCTTTAAGGAGCTGTGGATAGGGAAGCCTTTGTTCCTTCACACTCTGAAGCACTCTTTGGCTTCTGAAACTGAAACACTGCAGTCCAACTAATAAAAAACTGAATGTTTCCCTATTTTTTAACAAACTCGCTGCTCTTGGGTCACCGAACAGCACCCTAAACCCATATTGGAGGATGCCCAGAGAAGGAACATCAGTCTGCTACTTCAATTGCTGGGAACATTTTTATATTGTTTCTGAAAAGCTTTTCTTCAATAAATTTATACAAGCACATACACACACATCACATATGTACAGGTAATTTCTTCTCTATTTTCTTTGAAATCATTCTGAGCAATGTTGGTCTAATCAGCCTATATTGCTCTGAGTTTTGGGAGAGGTTCTGAAGGTCCTAAAACAAATCCATGGATAGTCTGAGGCAGCCTTACTCATTGCTAACCTTGGTGATTAAGATTCCAGATCCCAATGGGATAATGTCATACCCAGAGCAGGCTTCAGATTCAAGAAGGGAAACAGAAGTCTCTACAGGGTCTGGTCAAAAATCAAGATGGTGACTGTGATGATATGATCGAAGTTCTCCACCTGGTTGGACATCAAAACAGGCCGAGCTTCAACAGGATCACCATGGCTGCCATCTTGACTTTTTTGACTACACCCTGCAGCCAACCTGGGGGGAAAGGCCGATTCCTAGGGGTTTGCAACATTCAACAGTCAAATCAAAGTCAGCTTAGGTGCCTTTTAAACTTGTGTTCTCTTGCTTTTGCTGCTCTGGGCGTGGCCACTGGGAGAGGATCAAGAATCCACTTTCTCATGGTTTCAGTGGCCAAATGGGGTTTGTTTCCCAAGCCCTTCTTGCTCTTTCCTCCTGCAGCCAACTACTGTATATCCACTGCTCTGTTTCTTCTGTGGAGCCTCTCTGGATTGGCTTCTAGGATTCCTGATGCCTAGAAAGCCTCCCCCACAGCTGCCAGTCATTGTCCCGGCACTAGGACCACTTCGGCCAGCCACTTGCACCTGTCTCTCCTTGTACAAGCTGAGTCCCAGGCCGGGCCAGCCCGGAGGGGGAGGCGCTGGCAGTGGGGTTTCTGAACAAGCTGGATGTTGTACTCGGATCTGCATATCTAAACTTTCAACACCCACCCCCACTCAACAGCTGCTTGGAAACAGGTGCACAGGGGCTGCATGTCAACACTGGAGGGATTGTAGGGGGGAGGAAATCTTCCCAGCAGCAGAGGGGCTGCTGGAGAAAAGAGGAATTCAAACAACGGCCCCATAGGCCTCCCCACCACCTGTGGATCAGGACTGCAGCAGCCTCAGAAATTCTCGTCCCAAGTGAGGAATTGGGCTCTCTCGGGCAAAAGGAGGACACCTTCTCAAGTCTGGGGAATCAAGGCCAGCGCTGGTGCAAACCCTTTTCTGCGCATGGATGAGAAGTACAAGGCAGCATGAGCAACATGTATACATACGCACACACAGACACACAAATGTGTTCCCAGACGTTTGCTTCTGCCAGAAGCCTTCTTATGTTTTGAAGTCCCTCGCCAGCCGCCTCGATCACCTGCTGCCTTTGAAGGTCTGCCAGGAGAAAGGCATGGCAGAGGGGACCTTCAGCCCCTCGTCTTTATCCTCTGTGCTGAGTCACAAAAGAGCGCATCTTGGCAAATGCTCCTCCTTGCTCAAAGCTAATGTCTGTCGTCAAGTCTCCAGGTGACCTCAGCTTCAGCCTTTATCTCACAGAATGGAACCATACCCTGGCCCGCCTTGCAGAATTGTTGTATACCTATATGTTGTACTGTTAGAACACATAGACATATGACTGCTACCAACCATCTGCCCTGCTTCTGCTTCCACCGCCACTGGCTGATGTTCCCTGAGAGGACTTGCCCATAGACAACCAAGCTTCCACTAGGGTTTTGGGATCTCCCCTGCTCTTCCTCCTCCAGGAGAGCCAACTCTGCCCTCCAACAGTGGGGCAAGGGTAGTCAAAAGAAAGGCCACAATAGAAGGGCAGCTTCACCCCAGCTTCTATCTTCTCAGTCTGTCTTCTGTCCAAGCAACAATTGCCCATTTCAAGGATCTGCCAGTCATTTATATTTTGGGGACCGCTTCTTCCTAGTTTTCTATTACTATCACTCTGTCCTGCATTCAGTTAAAAACAAAAAACAATTGCACAAAAACTAACAACAGAACCTTTCTGTTTAAAACACAGAAAAGAACCAGGAGGATAAACTGCTTCAAAAGAGTAGCAAGTTGACCTTTAAAAGATCCCCCAACTTTGAAATGGCTGCATATAACGAAAGAGAGGGCTGCAAGGCATGTTTCCCCCAGCTCTTTTCAAAGAGGGCAGCTTAGAGCAGCCATG